GGGGGGGGGTGTTGGAGGTTTCTCCTATGCTCAGGGCTGGGAGGGAGGACAGAGGTGGAGAAATGTGAGGAATTCTCCCTGAAGCAAAAATCTTGCTTGGCTTTAGGGCTACCCACTCGTCTGCCTTAGAGAAGGGCCAGGTCCTGGGGACCGGGGGCATGAACAAGTAGGGAGCTGGAGATGCATGAGGGGAGCGAAGAGAAACCTCCCACACTTGGGAGCTGGAGAGCTTTCATGGTCATTCCATGGACAGTGGCCACTGAGGCTCACTCTTTCATAATTAATTACATTGAAATTCATTTGAGTGACAAACATTAATATATACTTATAAGTGTCTATTGCAAGACACCTCTGTATGTGTGTGTAAGGGGGAAGGGAGGGACAGATATACACATAGGCCTAGACTACCCAATGCCTGGTTGTGTTTATACACAGTTATCCCCTCTGTTGTATTTGTTTGTTGGGCATCTGAGGACAGAGTGAGGTAGAGTGCAGGAATGGGCTACCCACTGGACCTTTGTGATGTCACACTATTTTCACAGACACCTACATACACATCTGCATACACAAATAAGTTATACAAGTTACTTGCATTGAGAGATTGCATTTTTTTGTTAGTTCCTGTAGGTCTTACTGTCTTTGGGGGAAGGGAGATTGGGCCAGGGAGAGTCCCAGAGTTGCTGTGTGGAGGTGCTATACAACTGAGGGCCACAGCTAGTCTGCTGAGGCTGTGGGTACAGGGCAAGCAACCTTGGGCTCTGGCGGATCTGTGTGGCTGTGTGTCCTCAGATACCATGGCCTCTGCAGACTTCTGATGACTGCAATAGGAGACACAGAGCTCTTTTTTTTTTTACTTCTCCTTGGAGGTGTGCTAGGATACATGGCAGCCGTCATTGAGAAATCTTGTGACTGGGTGCAACAATCTCTCTGTACATCAGCTCAGAGTCTGGCCTCTTCCCTGACTGCTGGGACAAAGCCGGACAGCCCTTTCTGACCTTGTGTGTTATGTGACGCTTCTAACCTGGACAGGTGGTTTGGGAGGGACCTGGGTTTAGTGCAGGGAGCTGGTGGAGATTGGGCTTCTCCCTCTTCTAGAACACAGAGAGCCCATTGCTGAGAAACTCTCTGCCTGAGGTGTGCAAAGGGTGTGCTTGGCTGGGAGTCAGACTTTTGGCTGTGGGCTGGCCTGGGCTCTCACAGCTCTGCTGACCCCTTCTCCTCCATCTGTTCGTTACAGGATGTGCCCTCTGGATGCTCCATTTCCTTTTGTTCTCCTCTAAGTCCACCTAAGCACCTGGCTTAGAAAGACTATGTGTGTGGGGGGG